ATCTTTTCCAATCATATTACAAAGAAACAGCCTATAAATCACTGTAAAGGCAGAATTATTGAGATTAAAGCAGCCTAACATTTTCATAATAAATAAAGACTAACAATACCTTAACACCATCATTTCTAAATGGAATATTTTCCTGCATGTGTCAGGCAATATTTCCATGTAAACTTTTTTTGAGGAAAACATTTTTAATATCTCTAGAATTTTGTTTGTTGTTATTTTGTTGCATTTTTTAATTTAATAGATAATGTCTTTGGAAAATGTTTTTTATAAATATAATGCTGAGCTTATTGAGGGCAAAGGACTATATCTTCTCAATGCATTCCCAGTACCTTGCAGTTTCTGGTCTAGAGTGACTGCACAATCAATACTCATTTAATACATAAATGTTCTAAAATTTTTAATAACTGACAACAATATTTTATGAGCAAGATATATTTGGCCATCAATTATTTTAACTGGGCAATGCTTACAAAACAAGAACTAATATATTATATTTTCCTTCTTCAATCTTAATTTTTGTATCAAATTGTCCCTACCTTACTATATTTTTAATTAAATGTTACATTTAAAGTTAGCCAATAGTTAGAGTATTTTAGTCAATTCCTTCTTGTTTTTTTTTGTTTTGTTTTGTTTTGTTTTTTGTGGTTTGAAGAAAAGGGAATAAATGGTCCATAAAAAGTAAACTAAATATGTGATATGTGCAATTCTGAATCCAAATCCAGGTATCAAAATTTAAATTTTAGTAGTTTTAAGGACTAAAATTGTGGAAATAAAACAATTTAAAATGCTAATACAGTGAATATTTTCATGATTAAAAAATGATGGATTCACTATCATAATCCATGTATATAATTCAGGATCATCTGTACATAATGCTATACTAGATAAAGATCTGGGGAAATGATCTAGACCCACACCAAAAACCAACATCTTAATTGTGATTCCACACCAGTTCTTCATTTGTTTTTCTTTTCTTCTAAAATGTCCTTTGAAAGTAAAAAATGTGCCATCAGGTCATCGAAGATCATGTTGCCAAGGTGGAACCACACCCTAAAACAGAACCCAACTCAATCACCTACCACCAAAAATTAAGTGAAAAAAAGAGGAAGAAGGAAAAACTTATAACTGCTCTCAGCTCTTTAATATTGGGAACAAATTATTTAAACTATTGTTGTTCTAGTATTTTACTCAATATTATTTTTTTTTAAACTTTAACAAATCTAGAAGTTCTATTGAAGAATTTCTTCCTGGTTTCTGTCCACATCCCTATGATATAATGTCTTCAGAGGAAGCACATATAAACTTTGTTTCTTTCCAAAACTTAGATTTTATTTATTCTTTTTTATTTATCCTCACTCGAGGACATTTTTCCATTTTTTGTTCAGATAGAGTGGGAGAGAGAGAAAGGAAGAGAGAGAGAGAAACATCGACATGAAAGGGACACATCGCATGGCTGCCACCTGCACGACCAGCCAGGGCCAGGGACAAACTGCAACTGAGGTACGTGTCCTTAGCGGAAACCGAACCCGGGTCTCTCTGGACCGCAGGCTGATGCTCTAACTGCTGAGCCAAACCAGCCAGGGCTAAAACTTAGATTTTAAATTGAAAACACACAATGCATAACATTTTCACACAACTATGCATCCTTGCTTTCTATTATTTGTAATATTGCTCAGTGGCATCAACAGAATAATCTCTCCTTTTCTTTTCTGATTTCATTTTCTCCACAATAGGTTTCCATGACAACTTATTTTTTATTTTTTATAAATCTCTATTCTTGAATGCTATTCTTAAGGATAGGAATTCATAAGCATAAAATATAAACTTATTTTTATGTTTAACATGAACAATTAGACCTCTCAAATATGTACTTAAATCACAAATTAAAAGTAATAGAGGAGGGGAAATACCAACAAAAAAATTTTATTATATATATATATATATATATATATATATATATACACACACACACACACACATATACACACACACATACACACACACAATGCTGTAAAATTCAGTTAATTATCCAGTTCCTATCAGGATTGTTTCAGTCTGCCAGTTCAGATCATAAAAGTTAGAAATAAAACACATCTGTTATATAACTGAGCCAATATCTTCAATATTGGAAAGGATAAAAAAATGATGAAACAGGTATGACAAATTGAAAAAAGGAATTCAGACAGTTACATTGTTCACCTCAAGTATATCAATAAAAAATGAACTAATATTTAAAAGTGAGTGTTCATAAAAGTTAAACACTTAACTTCTATTAAAAATGAGACTTGTAGCAGTAAGACCACAACTGAAACAAACCAATTGATAATGGATATATTTCTCCTAGAATCATGTCCGTGAAAAATATAATTTCATCCAGTAATCTTCCAATGTAATTCTATTTATCAACCTAGTCAGATAATATTAAGTCAGGCCATCCTCTAAAGTAAAAGTGTTCATATAAAAATACTAATTCACATTTAAATAGAATGGTGGGTTACTTCTGATTACACCTTTTAGGCAGCCCTCGTAATCTGAAAAGGGATTCCCCTAAAGACAAGTGTTACAAAATATTAGCTAATCTGAAAGAAAGCAAAACGTTACCTATTAACTGGTAAATAAAAATGGAAGTTCAAACAGGCTCATTTAAAGAAGTTAATTTCAATTCCATATCTTTAATCAAAGTTGGGTGGTGCAGGGTAAAATTTCTACCAGCAAAGTCTGCAAATACATATATTTTTAAAAAGTCACAGATGACCTTTCAGAGTTAGAATGCTAGTGAATATCTTATGCTGCATTAACTCTCAAGAGCAATAAGATCTACAGAGATTTCACAAGCCCGTCAGTTATAATCAGTGGTTGTAGTGGGAAGGGCCTGGGGAGGGCATCATAAGACCTCCAGATAATTTTGGCTCTGCTATTAACTTGCTATATGACCTTGGCCATCACTTAGCATCTGCAGTCTTCATTTTTCTCATCTACAAAATAAAGGGTCTCCACAAGGTGACCTCCAAGAAATGTTCCATGTCTATGGTTCTCAGCTGACTGCTTCTAATGGCTCTTTGGCTTTGTGTTCATCTCTAATCTGTGTTCTTTCCTCACCTAAAAAGATGCAGGCCAAATCCTTAATAATATTATAATGAAATCTTTGTAAGATTTAAAAAAAACTATTTTAAGTTAATGGTATACCCTTTGATGAATAATCAATTTCAATTGAATCAATTTGCATAGCAGTAATGATAATTAAACACATTCTTATTAAAGTTTTTGCTATGTAATCTGTCCTACAATAAAATATATTATATGATCATGAGGGAAAGATAAAAAAAAAGCTATCTTTTTTATAGCACATGATCTGGAATGATCACATGATGACTTTGAAAACAAGTTCAAATTAGCCACCAAGTGGAAAGAGCATCGGGTAGTGGGGAGGGCATGGAGGAACACAGATGTTATAGTCATGAGTCTGTAATTTAATTTACATAAATATGTACTTGTTTGGTTTTTTTTAGTGCCAACTTTTGTTGTAATTTATAGAATGGTCTTAAAAGAAAAATTTCATAGTTGAAGTTTTGAATTCGACATTCAAATAAAAAAATGTGGACCTACTAGTATTTATGTATGTATTTAAATTCCAGGCTCAATAGAGTAACCATTCTTTAAATTATCTCTTTTATATACTATTTCACACTGAAAACAAAACATAACTTTAGGCTTCTAAAGTGGTGTCAGAAGCACATCTTCTGACAAGTTGGTAGAGACACAGCTGCACAATATCTCAGAGGCAAAGACTTCTGACATGCAAAGACAATAATGCGAATGGAGCCCAAGTGAAGCTGGGACAATTCCCATTCTGCCCAGGGGGTATCTTTTCTGGGTGTCAGAAGCAAACCAGACACATGCAGTTGCAGAGATTTCACAAAATACAGTACTCTGTTCTTACATATAATTAAAAACCATTCACATACTATATAATTTTTGGTTATTTATATTTCTTTTGTTTCCTTTAAACTGGAGAAACCATTACTGGTTACTTTTAGAGTGCCTTCATGGGATTTTGAAGAATTAATTAGGAATGTCAAGAACCAAATTTAAGTTGTCACTCAAGCTAGAAGCTGAAAAGAAAAATTGAGGATGGGATCACAATCGAAAGAGTAAAATAAAGTTCGATACAATCTAAATTACCCTGATTTAGAAAACTGGATGAAGCTTGAATCACCAAAGAGACTAATTCACGTTCAACCTGTAAAAAAATACATATAGCCTCCAATATTCAGTTCAACCTGTAAAAAACATGGACAACAGCCTCCAAAATTCAGTGTGCAGGTGGGTTCTCTGCTCAAGTCACTGAGACAAGTAATCCCACCATTATTCTCCCTTGGAAAGAGAAGGCCCAAACAGCAGGTAGGAGATTCTCTTCACAAAATGAACCTCCTGGCATGCCCTCCCCCACACCAGCCACATACTTAGATTCCATGTCCCCTTCCTCTGCCCTCAGATTAGATCCCTATTTGGAGCCACTGCTCTGGGTGAGTCAGATGTGAAGGAGTGTCGGGCCCCACTGAAAATGTCAAATCGTGACGACCAGAAGACCCAAGAAGATGTCGGAGCTAAAGGAAAAGTTGGAACAAAAGACGCAAAACAAACAAACCAACAAACTCAAGTCGAAGTCTGATACCAGTTTCAAGACAAGATTCCAGACATGCACAGAGGAGTCGACATATATGCCCTTTTAGGTCCCATCTGCTAAAGTAAATCTCAGTTTGAGTTGAAGAGCAGAGGAAGGAGGTGAAGGGGAACTGGGAGGATGGGGGCCAGGGCACCTGAGTTTACATTTCAACAGATGGGCCTCTGATCTCATCTTTACGGAACCCCGTTCCTTTCTCCCCTCCCCCACTCCCCATACCAGAGGCCCTTGGTGTAAATGGACAGCAGGTTGGGGAAGTAGTTGGGAGAAGTTGGAACAGAAGGGAAGGGGGCGATTCTGGCCTTACCCTGGCGGCTCTGGACGAGTAGGGGTCCTCGAAGAGGGCCCACATGCGGGGCTGCAGCCTCCTCCAGCGGCCAGACTTGCCGTCGGGGCCCCCCAGGCCAGCAGCGTCCTCGATGCCCAACCTCTTGGCCGCCAGGTCCTCATCGTCGCCCAGGTCGCCGCCCATGAGGTCGGGGGTCTCGAAGATGTCTAGTGCCTCTTCGGCATCGCGATGCTGCCTGTAGGTCATCCAGCAGCAGGGCTCCACGTCTGTCTCGTCGATGCCCCAGAAGGCCAGCTCCTCCTCGAAGAGCGGCCCACACACGTCGGCGGGGCAGTGCAGCTTGCCCGTGCGGTAGTAGTTGAGCACATAGGCGAAGACGCCCGGGTGCCGGTCGAAGAAGAACTCGCAGCCGCCCCTGGGGTGGTCGCTGCCGCCGCCGCGGGAACTGCAGTTGCCCGCGTCGCCCTCCAAGCAGCCGCCGGGCCCGGGGGACGGTGGCGGCGGTCGAGGCGGAGGCGAGAGTGGAGGGGGCGACCGCTGCAGCTGGTCGCCCGCCGCCGTCAGGCAGTCGCCCTGGGGTTCGGAGGCGGCGAGAAGGGCCAGGCGAGTACCAGGCAGGGTCTTCAGGGTGCTGCGGTAGGTTTCATGCCGGGTACCCCCGACATTGAGGATCACCCTCTCGTTGTTCTCGATCTTGCCCATCTCTGTGGCTCAGACATGACTAGGGGGAGGCGAACACAGCGCTAAGTTAAAGACCTCGGTCGTCACAGCTGTACCTCGCCCCGAGAGTCCCCCTACCCCCAGCCTGAGAGTCCCAACATGCAGGATTGGCAGATAAGCAAATGACCCTCCCTGGGGGATCAGCGCCCAATCTGTTCCTGACTCGAGCCTCACACCTTTCCCAGGTTTCCAGAGAACCAAGGAGGTAGCAGTCCAAGTATCCCTTGACCTCCCATGACACCCTTTCCTCTGCTGCTTCACCCCTTTCTCCTTTTGCTCCTTCATCTTTTCACCCTTCACCCTCCCTCCCCTCTGCCGTCTCTCAAGTCTAACCAGCACCCAGACCCTATTCCCCCACCCCCACCTCAGCCCAGATCTCTCCCTCCACTTTCTCCTCCTCTCTCGCCCAGCCCGGGTCCCTCTCCTCCACTCTTCTAGCCTCTCCCCCTCCTCTAGCCTGGAGACAATTCCCTGAGGCAGGGAGTTCTCTCTGCTGATGCAACTTGGCCGTGTTGGCTGAGAGCCCCCAGGACTCGGCCGAGAGCCCCCCTGGCACCCTTACCTCCGGTCACTCTGGATGGCTCGCTGCTCCCTAGCGCTCAGGGCGTGCCCTTTGAGCGACCTGTTCCTGGTTCACCTCTACTCGCCCTTACCCAACAGGCGGAAAGACTGAACGCCGAAGTCAACGCAAAAAAAAAAAAAATCTCCCTGATGTTGCCTTTCACCAAGAAGACCTCTGACCAATTTCCTGATCCAATTTTCACCTATTGTTGTTGTCACTAATATTATGACTTGGGAAAGGAAAAGACTAACTAGGATCTATTTCTGAGAATAGTAGTAGTGATCCGTGCATCCCACCCATCCCCCCTTTCCAAGAAAAACAAACGCCGCGGGGTTGGGGGTTGAGGGTTGCTTTCTAGGAGGGGCGAGGCCCGGAAAAAGCTGCTGGAGGCACACCCCCTGAGCTGGAAGTCCTGGCTGTGTCCCCGTTTCCAGTCTCCCAGCCACCGCCCCCAGGGCTTCACCTACACATTCCTATTGCGGAACGGAACGGGGATGCCTGCCTGCTGGGTCAGCATGCCCTTCCCGGCAAATCACCCCCTTTCCCTCCTGTCCCCCGATACCTTAACGAGACCGAGACTAAAGTGGTTCTGCTTGGATATCCCCGTGGACGAGCTTCTCGGGGCAGCGGGACTGAGTCCCGACACCCAGGCGAGCCGCCCTTCTCCAACGAGAAACTACTTGTTGGCGTTTTCCGGGTTCAGGAGGTTGGGCCGCTCGTCTGGGCGCGGGGGTCGTGGAAACAGTCCCCGGCGGCCGCCGGCCGCGCTCCCCGCCTTCATTGTGCGAGCGGCGGGCTCGCCCCGCGCCCACCTCGGCGCCCGGAGTCAGCATCGCGCAGGGCTGGGCAAACCATGGAGCTCGGGCGGGTCCAGCCGGCGCTCCGCGACCCCTCAGCGAGCGGGCAGATCCCCGGCCGTGGAAGGAGCGGAGCTAGCCCGAGAGGTCAGGAGAGCTCACCCTCTTGAAGGTGAAGTCACCCTGCTCTGATTTCGACCTGCAGATTTTGTTTCTACCCCCCCTCAAAGCAGCCGCTGCTGGAACTGCCCCTTCCGCGCCACTCGCCACCAACCCCCGCCGCTGGAGTACAGAGCTCAGGGAGGGGTGGGTGGGTGGGTCTGGGGAAGCTATGTTGTACCAACCAGGTTCATCTATTTTCCTCTGATGAAGCTCTATTCCTACCCCTTCTGGAGCATCTGCTTGCCTTATTTACACCCTTATCTCCACACCCTTTCGCTTCCCACTGCCCCACCCCTCCCAACAAGTGAGAGAAAATCTAAGACCAATTGCTTTTTTTCCTTAAAGACTGCTGATGCAAGAGAAAGGTCTACTTACAGGTGACAAGTGAGTCTCGTTTCTAGTGTCTTATTCACGGCTCTGGCTTGTTCTTTTCAGTCAAATGTAGGTCTCCAGGCACCACATCATGGTTATATAAAACAAAATAAGTTTTAAAAGTTTATTCCAGAAACATAATGCTTTAGCACGTAAAAATTCAGATTTCTTTATCAGAAGCGAAAAGGCAAGCTACAGATACCAAAGTACCAAAGCAACTAGCTAATTAGCCAGTTTCTCCCCTTCTTAACTGTACATTGTGCCTTGTATCAGTTTGCTAGGGCTACCATAACAAAGTATCTCAAACTGCATTGTTTGCAGCAGAAATACATGATCGCTGTTGTGGAGGCTAGAGCTTTGAATGAAAGTGTTGTTAGGGTTGGTTTTTTCTGAGGGCTATGAGAGAGGTCTATGCCAGGCCTCTCTCCTCTTGTAGATGGCCATCTTCCCCTGTGTCTCTTCGCACGGTTTTCTCTTTATTCAGGCTGTCTCTGTCCAAAGTTCCCTGTTATATAAAAACACTAGACCTCATGGCTAGGACTCACCTTAATGACTTCATTTTAACTTGATTACTTTGTAAAGACCCTATCTCCAAATAAGGTCACATTCCCAGGTTTTGGAGGTTAGGACTCCAACATTTCTTTTTGCAGTTTGGAGAGGGGTGGGGGGAGGCTGGAAGACATGTCAACCCTTATTAGACCTCACCACCAAAAAGCGTGTTTCTGGGTCTGTGTATATTTCTAGGAAGAGAGGGAGGGTAGGAGGAAGGAGAAAGCTAGTGCCTATTCCACAGGTATGTTTTGATAGGATTGAAGTCCACAGAGTAAGTAAAACACCAGGTTTTATGTAGGAGGAAATCTCTTTGAAAACCAGTTATTGATATTGACACTAAGATCTGAAAAGAGCAAGAGTTATGCATTACTAATAAAGTTTTAGCATTATACAGGACTGCAAGGTGGGCAGGAAAATATAAACGATTTACTAAAGAAAATACCTATATGTTATGAGAGTAAATAAGTAAACAAAGTAAAGAACTAAAAGGTCTTTAAAAGGTCATGTATAGCTAAGAAACTAGTGTAAGAAAATATGGTATGTATACATTTACAAAAAATTTTACTAATAACATGGCAGTAAATATATAGTAATAACCTAAGGAACAGCTTTGTGAGAATATAAGTTTCCTTTACTAATACACGCAAAAATGCGTAAAGCTTAGATACTAAGGGAATGATTCTAGTTTTGCACTATTATCAATCACTGAGGAATTTCTAAAAATAACAGTGCTAGTTTATTTCCATTGCCAGAAAATATACAAAGAAGAATCATATTCAAATTCTAACATGTATCTTGCCTCATACATTGTCTAGATGGTTCTTTATATAGCATATAAATTCAGTAGGGAGAGAAAGATATGTGGTTTGCTTTAAAATAAACTAGCAATAGTAAGTGTAGTAACAGAACATTTATAATAATAGATAACATTTACTGAGATCTTACAATGTGCAAAATGCTTTACACAAATCATTTCTTTTTAATTTTTAAATGGAGGAAATATTCACATTAAATTATAAGACTTCTAGAAAGATAACAGGAACCAATCATGAAAACCTTCAGTTTGACAATATTAAAATTGTATTATGAAGGATCTGTAGAGAAAGCAAAAGCAGGGGAGGGGGATACAAGGACTCTTGGGAGGGCATAAAAAAGATGTAATGAACCTATTTGAGTCTAAGCTTATATAAGCTATCTAGAAATAATCGCATTCACAAGAGGGTCATCTTTTAGAAGTCAGACTTTTCTTGTGATTTATAAAGGATTAGATGTGAAATTAGAGAACATGTCAGATAAGTTTGAAAATAAGAATGTGAGAAATAAAAGGATGAGATTGCATTTCACTGGAGAATTGATAAAGCAATAAATGAAATAGTCTTTGTTATGTTTTTTTTTTTTCTTTCTGTTCCATATAAAAGGGGAAGATTCTAAGACAAATATATCCAGGCTTTATTATATAAGACATAAGAGTACAGAAAACCCCTTCAGCTAACTCCACTGATCCTGCTATAAAAGAAAAAAGTGAAAAGAAAGCAAATCTTTAAACGATGGCATGGAAAGCTGAGGGGGAAAAACAGCTGTGGTTTCCTTTGTTGGTGTGTGTGGAGCAAGGGTTTAAAAGATCATACAGACATTACCCCTTGCAGAGAAGTAGCTTGAGTCAGCATCACAGAAGGCTACAGAAACCTAGCACTACATCCCCACCAGAAGTGTGGTTTGATCTCATGAAGCCACATTGTGAATGTCAGAATGACATACTTGTAAGTTTAACCTTTGAACAGATTAACTCTTTTAAAGTCCAATATAAGGATTTTAAAAATATTCTTCACCTTCAAAAAGAAAAATACTATTTATAGACAAAACCCTTCCACAGTAGATTAAAAAAAAAAAATGGCCACAATTTCCCACCGCTCCCTGAAGGTATGACCCTTTATAATGTGACTCCACACCTTCTCCCATCAAGTCTGTTTCTCCAGCCCTTGAAGCTGTATTGGCTGTATAACTTGCTTTGGCCAATAGAATGCAATGAAGTGATGTTGTACTGGTTCAAAGCCTCAACTTTAGAAAGTCCCTCGGACTGCTGCACTTTCTCTTTCTTTCTCGGAACCATGCCCTGGTGCTATGAGAACAAGCCTTAGCACTCAAGTTCTCTCTCTCTCTCTCCCTCTCTCATTCACACACACACACACACACACACACACACACACACTCACTCACCTCTCTGGTACAAAGAGAAATAGCATTAGGAAGCAAGTCAGAGAACACAATATAACAAGGATTTTAAAAAAGAAATGACATTTCCCCAACAGCTAAAACTTCTCATCTCTTCCCCTACATGATACCCCACTAATCCCCAAAAGTGAAATTGTCTTGCTCTTATGTGTAATCCAGAAGAACTGTCCAGCCTAACCTAGTCCAAATGCACTGAGTCACAGAATCATGAGCTAAATAAAAAACTATAGTTAGGCTATTATGTTTTGGAACTGTTTGTAATACAAGCTGATTCATCCTCTATGTTTCCTCCATCTCAAACGTAAAAAATATGAGCCTACTTACCTGCCTTCTTATTTTCTTAATATGTTTTTATTGATTTTAGAGAGAGAGGAAGGGAGGAAGAGAGAGAGACAGAGAGAGAGAGAGAGAGAGAGAGAGAGAGAGAGAAACATCAATGTACGAGAGAAACATTGACCTGTTGCCTCTCGTACACACCCAGGCAGGAAACCTAACCTGCAACCTGAGCTTGTGCCCTGACCAGGAATCGAACTGGGGACCTTTCTGTGCACAGGATGATGTTTAACCAACTGAGTAACACTGGCAGGGCCTTAACTGCCTTTTTAACAATAATGAACATTTACATCACAACTCCTTGAGCCTCATTTCCTCACCTACAGAATGGGGATGATGGCAGTATAGTTACTGTGAGGATTAAATGACATGGGTCAATAGAACACTCAAGGATATTAATGGCACGTTTTAGGCATCTGCTCATAGTAACTTGTATCATCAAAGAAAGAAAAACTTTCACCCCCAAATCACAGTTAATACTTGGCAGAAATAGGATCATAACCCATATCCTCTGATGGCAATTCTGACTCTTATTCCATACTGCCTTGTACAGAAGTCAAAACTAGTTCAAATATTTTATATTTCATAGAGAAATAATGAAATCAGAACTCTAGAATCTTTAAAATAAGTCTGAATTTTTTAAATTTAAAAATGTGTGTATGAACCATCTTTTAATGACCTATTTTTTGCAATATACATCTTTTACCACCCAACATATTTACTTGGATAGTTATAAAGTAGATCTACATATGAAAAATTCAGGGATTACTAATTTTACAACTTGGTCATTTGATTTGTAAGAAATACTTAATTTGCACTGGTTGTCAAGAGTCAGAGGTTTTACATAAATATCCAGCATAATAACATAGATATTTAACCAATTTGAGCTTACTATATACTTAGAAAGTTAATGTGCAATAGTATTGCGAAAAGGCATCTTAGGTTGAAGAAAGAGAAAAATTCTCAATGAATATAAGGTGATGTTAACTAATGAGCATTAAAAGCAAGTGTTGAAATGACCTGCTCATTATGAAAAATTCTGGGCCATGGCCTTATAAACCATTCATTTAAATAGAGGGTGATAGATGATTAGATAGATAGATGATAGATAGATAGATAGATAGATAGATAGATAGATAGATAGATAGATAGATGATAGATAGATAGATGATAGATAATAGATAGATAACCTTATAAATAGTTATCTATAGCCTGAAACACCAATCAGGAAGAATATATGTACCCCCATGTTCATAGCAACACTATTTACAATAGCTAAGATCTGGAAACAGCCCAAGTGTCCACCAGTAGACGAATGGATAAAAAAGCTGTGGTACATATACACAATGGAGTACTATGCAGCTGTAAGAAAGAAAGATCTCTTATCCTTTGAGACGACATGGAGGGACCTGGAAAGTATTATCCTAAGTGAAAGAAGCCAAGCAGAAAAAGACAAATACCACATGATCTCACTTATATACGGAATATAATGAGCATAACAGTCTGAGGAATACAGTAGACCCAGACACATGGAAGTAGGGCACAGACTGACATCCCTCAGAAGAGGGGATGGGGGGTGGGGGGGTGGGAAGAGATAAACCACAGAACTTATATGCATGTATGCATGACCAATGGACATGGACAACTAAGCCGGGGACAGGGTGGAGGGGGGGTAGGGTGGGGGGTGCCAATGGGGTAAAAAGGTAAAATATCTGTAACAAAAAAATAAATAAAAATTCATATAAAAAA